TCCTCTTCCCAGGGCGCAGCAGCTGCTCATCGCCCTCCTGCAGGACCTGGCTCAGCAGAGCAGCTCCGCCCGCAAGGTGAGGCCGCTGCCGGGTCCTGGCCCGGGCCCTGGGGGGGCCCTCCCTCCTTCCTCCCTGGGCTGGCAGAGGGGGGCGCCTGGCTAGGGGTCCTGTTGGGAGGGTGTGGGCTACTGATCTGAGGGTCTCCCTGCGAGTCCCTGCCCCAGGGGCCCCGCACACCTTCCCTGGGCCCCACAGGGCACCCGGCCTGCAGGTCCCTCCATGGCGAGCAGAGGTGCTGATGTGCTTTCTTGGTTGTGCCCCTGCACCCACCGCCTGGCCATCTGCACCCATTACTCCCTCGGGGGGCGGGGACCTGGTGTCCTCCCCACACAGGCACTCAGTGCCCCGAGCAAGGAGCCCCCCCGGCTCCATCACAGCAGGTGAGGTGTGGGGGCCGCCCTTGCTGCCGTGCCCTGGGCAAGGGCCTCTGCCCCAGGACCCTCTCCTGCTCTCTTCTCCCTGGCACGGGGCCTGGGCTGTTCTGTGGGCACAGCCTGAAGGTCCAGGGACCAGCCTGGAGCCCCCGGTGGGGCGGTGCCTGCCCGGCCCGGTGTGGACAGCAGGGACAACTGGTCCCTTCTCCCTGCAGCCGTCTTCTGGAGGCCCCCAGAGGTTGGTGCGCATCGTCACTGTGGACAGAACCAAGGCCAGCGCCCTGTGCTCATCCTTTGATCGGGCCCAGTCAGACCCCAGCCAGCTGGGAGGTGAGGTGGGCGGGGAGGGGCTGTAGGCTGCTGGGGGAGGCGGGGGAATAAGGATCGATCGTGAGAACCATACTTGGCGCCTGGGTGCCTCTCTGGAGAGGTGAGTTGGGTGAGGTCTGAGGCCCTGAGGCTGCATAATATAGAGGGGCTGTGGAAACAAGACAGCAACTGGAGTGAGGGGAGCGTGGGGCGGGCATCCAGGAGGTGCTGGGTGCCAGGAGTGGGAGATGGAAGGGAGGAGGAGGCCTTCTCCATCCTCCCTGTGGCCAACAGGTGGGAGGAGGCAGGTGGGATCAACCACACTACCCTGCTGGGCCTGGCAAGCACAGGGCTCGGTGGCCACTGGCACCCAGGCTGTTGAGCCAGGGAGGGTGGGGCTTGCGGCCCTTGAGCCGGCGCCCATCGTGGCCGTCCCATAGGTGTGGGGGCTGCGCTGTGCAAAGCACAGGCCCTGCTGCGGGCGGGGCCTGGGACCACTCACGGCTCTTCTCCCCCACAGACGCCTCCTCCTGGGGCTTCTGGGCCGAGAGCTGCGTCACCCTGGCGCCCTACACGCGGGTGCACCCACGCAGGCCCAGCCGGCCCCGGCCTGTGCTCCTCGTGCCCGGCTTGGTCGGGAGGATCCTGAATGAGAAGCTCTGCCTGCTGCAAGGGTTTAAGACATGCCCAGCAGGTGCGGTCCCCCCTGAGTCCCCCCCTGTGTGCGAGTGGGCAAGGCCTGGGCTGCCGCTGGATGGGCTCCAGGAGAGCAGCGGAAGGCGCCATGAGGGCCCGGGGCTGCCTAGCAGGTCACCACGCCCGCCTGGGGCGTACAGCTACCGGGCTGTCCTCCGGGCTGAGGCCAGAGGTGGGACCAGGTCTCCGTGGCAGCCTGGCGCAGAGGATCTTGGGAGGGCCTCCCTCTCTTCTGGCTCCTGGCGCTCCTGGTCCTCGGCTCCTTGGCTGTGTGCACCCTCCTCCCTCAGCCTCCTCGTCACGTGGCTTCTCCCGTGTCTGTCTCCACGGGAGCTTCCTGTAAGGACCCAGCCCTCGGGTTAGGGCCTCCCTAGTCCAGTGCGACCTCATCGTCACTCCCACCTGCACAGATCTTGTTTCCGAACAAGGTCCGTGCTGGCGTTGGGTGGGTGAGAATTTGGGGGGCATAACTCAATCCAGCGCAGTTACTGCTGGCAGTCAGGCTCATGTGTGACCGGTAGGAACCCCAGAGGGCGCCACCCACCAGCCCAAAGCCCGTCAGCAGAGTCCTGGGCCCCGGGGACAGGCTGTGTCTTCTCGCAGCAGAAGGGTGGGCCCAGGAGGCGGCGGGAGGCCTTGGTGGTGCTTTCATTCACGCCGTCGCTAGTCCACGGCTGCGCAGAGCTCACTGCCAGCTGGGGCCACCGTGATCTGGGGGTGCTTGGGTGGCAACGGCGGAGGCCAGCAGAAGGCATGGGCAGGTCGGGAGGAGGCTGGGCGGAGGGGGCAGGAGCTGTTCAGGAGGAAGGGCCTGGTGGGGGCTGCAGCAGAGTCCGAGGGCGGGGCCGCAGCCTCCGGCTCTGGCCTCTGGGTGGCCATCTGCACTGTAGGGTGTTGAGTGACATCCCTGGCCCCCACGCGCTAGTTGCCAGGAGCACAGCCCTGCCCGTGGTGACAGCCAAAAAGTCTCCAGACATGCCCGTGCCCTGGGGGCACTTGCCCTGTTGAGAGCCACTAGGGGGTTTCTAGGTGGAAGAAGTTGGATATGTAAGTTTGGAGCTTGTGAAGCGATGGAGGGGTTTATCTCCATCTGTCTGTCAACCCACCCATCCTTCCTTCAATTCGTCTTCCTGCTCCCTCCTGTCCATCCGCCCCTGGCGCTGCCTGGCCCTGCTGTGCGCACCCCCTCCCCCCGGGAGAGGGAGGCCGCCGGCAGCCACTGCTGGGTGACCCGCACAGCCCTGGAGCGCCTCATGGAGAAGGTAGGGGGGGCGGGCGGGCGGGCAGGGAGCAGGGACTGGCAGGGGGGCGAGGAGGAGGTGGGACCCGGGTCCCAGTGCCTGGGAAGTCTGACCCTGAAGCTGTTTCCCGGCCAGGAGTGGTCACCAGCATCTGTGAAGGGACTAAAGCCGGGGCCGCCTAAGGCCACCCTGCATGTCAGGTGTTTACATGACCATTCATCACAGCAGCAACATGACAGCTAGGAAGTAGCCACGGAAATAATGTTATGGTTGGGTCAGACCATGAGGAGCTGTGTTTAAAGGGCCAGAAGGTGGAGAACCGCTGGCCTAAAGGCAATGGAAAGGGCTCATGTTCTAAGGCTCATGTACAGGGAAAGCTCACTGGGAACTGCCCAGGGTTACATGGGTACAAGGCGGCCAGCCCCGGACCCATGCCCCCGTGCCCCCAGCCCCGGAGGAGGAGCTGCGGACTCCGGGGACGGGTGTGCACAGGCCCCTCAGCCCCAGCTTGCAGCTCCAGGCTTCCAGGTGAAAATCACAGGCGTGACGATGCTTGTACCACTAGAACGACTGCCTTTTAAATCGAGGTAACGTTGGTTAACTTCATGTGAGTCTCAGGTGTCCGCATGTAATTCTACATGTGTGCACGTTAGCGTGTTCACCAACCATCTAGTTTCCATCCATCGTCACACACTTGATCCTCGACCCGTGTCACCCTCCCAGCCTCTCCCTGTCCTATGTCTATGGGTTTGGGGTTTTACTGGTGTTTTCTTTTCTATTTTAAAATTGAGGTCAGAAAGGAAGGAAGAGGGAGAGATAGAAGCATCAATGATGAGAGATAATCATGGATCGGCGGCCTCCTGCTCGCCCCCCACTGGGGATCGAGCCTGCAACCTGGGCTTGTACCCTGACTGGGAATCGAACCGTGACCTGGATCATAGGTTGATGCTCAATCCCTGAGCCACGCTGCTGGCCATTTGTTCATTTTTCTGGCCTCACGTCTACCACTTGGCAGAACACCCTGCGGGTGGAGGGAGCTGCTGACGGCTGTGCAGCCAACACCCCACAGGCCCGGACAGCTGTGGACTCTCCCGGCTCCTGTACCAACGCAGCCCTGCCCGGTCCCCTCAGTTTCCCTCTCCTTCCCCAGAACACGCACGCCCTCCTGGACATCCCGCTGGACAGCGTGCGCGCCCTGCACAGCATGGAGATCTTCCCCATCGTCCTCCACGTCGCCATCAACGAGAAGGCGGCCAAGAGACTCAGGTAGGTGTGTCTGGGGCTGACCGTCACCGCCCCCCCCAAGGCCCTCATGCCTCTGGGGCATGTGACGGGATTCCTGGAAGTGTCACAGGGTGGGTCCCCCACAATTCTGGGACAGAGGCCCCCTGTCCCCCTGGGAAACAGCCCAGAGGACAGCGAGCACTTGGCTCCTACGCTGACTCACTAAGGCAGGGGTCCTCAAACTTTGTAAACGGGGCCAGTTCACTGTCCCTCAGACATTCCACACGTGCGCACTGCGGGCCCAGGGCGAGTCGGCTGCTAAGCAGGACAGGCAGCGGCGGCAAAAACACCCGGCGGGCTGGATAAATGTTTTCGGCGGGCCGCATGTGACCCGCGGGCCGTAGTTTGAGGACCCCTGCACTAAGGCCCCGTCTGCTGGGCCACAGGGACCGGCCCGCCCGGTGGTGAGGACCACCTGGAGGCCGTGGCTTGTTCATGGCTGGGGATAAGCCCAGGTGTCCTGGGTCCTTTATAATTTCACACCTGAGGCTGTAAACTAGACGCCGCTCCCACCTGGCTGTGGTCTGGGGCCCTGTCTCTTCAGGACCCAGTGAAAGTGGCCGCTGCACCCAAGGGTGTTTGGTCCCCTGGGATCCCGAGCCCGGCCAGCTCCAGGCATGGCCGGGGCAGCGCGCTGTCCCCCTGAGCCGCCTCTGGCCCCGCAGGAAGGCCCTGCAGCGGCTGGGTGCCTCGGAGGAGCAGCTCCTGGCGGCCAGCAGGCAGGAGGAGGGCGAGCTGGACAGGGCGCCGCACCCCTGCTGCAGCCTGGCCCCCGAGGGCTGGGGCGACCTGGACACGCTGCTCAGCTGCGTCCGCTTCGCCATCTCCGACGAGCAGAAGAAGGTGGTGTGGACAGAGCAGAGCCCCCCCTGACGGACGCTGTGTCCTCCCGACTGGTGGACCTCACACCCTGTCCTGTGGGCTCAGCTTGGGGTGCTCACCGCACACACCCCCTCGGGTCCCCTCACTGGAGTCTGACCACCACCCTCGCCACGTGCAGGCACCGATGGGCACTCAGACCGTCTGCTCTTTTCTGCGTAAACCGTCTCCTCACCAGGACTTGGCTTGGTCTGAACCGACACCGCGAGGACGCCCCACAGGGGTCACGGTGCCTCCCCGGAGCCGGAGGCCCAGGTGTCCCCAGATAGCGCCCATCCGACCGACCCTGCACTTTGCTCAGAGGCTCCTCCCACACCCACCGAGGCGGCCCGAGGTCAGGCGCCCCCGCCAGGCGAGGAGGAGACCGCCTAGCACCAGCCCTGTTCTCTCGGCTGCTGGTGCTGATGCTCAGTGGTTGCCCTTCAGACTGTTTACCACCAAGTATCGTCTCCAAGTGACGGACACAGTATCTTCGGTGGGTTTGTGCCCCCAGACGGGCTCCTCCAGGGCTGAGGACTGCCTCTACCAGTGCTCCCCCCACCCCCATCTCAGGCCACCATGACTCCGCCTCCAGGGAGACAGTCGGGCATGGCCCAGGGGAGGCCCCCCAGGCTCCCACCCAGCCCAGCCGCCCCCTCACAGACTGAAATGCCCGGGAGGCTGTTGTAAACAAGTTCAGAAATGGACTTGCATGTTAGACTAAAATAAGCGTGTACAATGTTCTGGCCTGTGGCTCACCCTCGCCCCCAGGAGGGAGGAGGTGGGGAGGGCGGGGCGACAGGAGCCCCCATTGGGAGAGAAAGCGGCCGCCGGGAGGGCAGGGCATGGAGCATGCGGGCGGCATCTGCGCTAGACCTGTGCCCTCCACAGAGGGGACCAGCCTGCGGGCGGCATCCCGGGGCGTCAAAAGGATGGATGCCCACGGGCTCAGACCTGCCACTCAGCCGGCCGGGAGCGTCCCCCGGAAACCAGCCCAGGGCCGGGGACTTGGCCCGGCGGCCCCAGTGTCTTCAGGACCAGAGATGGATAAAACCAACACTGCAGTCCCAGAGTGGGGTTGGACCTGTCTCCATCCACATGGCACATGCAGCCCCTCGGCTCCTCTCACAGGAAGGGCATGGACATCTGTGGCTCCAGAGAATGAGGGTCCCGGGACCCAACCGAGGAAACAACCCCTTGTCCAGACCTGTCCTAGGTCGCCCTGGGATTCCTGTGCCGGGACACGGCTCAGACAGGGTGGCGATGCCCCATGGCACGGTGGAGACAGCCTCTGTGCCCCTCCAGGCAGACGGGAAAGAGGCAGCATCAGGGAGCGCCCTCTGCGGGCAGCCCAGGAGTGTGCCTGTGCCCGAGGCTGGCCACGCCCTCCCTGGCGGGGGCGCGGGGACAGGGCCTGGAGGAGGCGCGTGTGGCTCACAGCTCATTGTGCAGGGGCCGGCACTGGGGCGAGGGCCTCTCCTCCAGGACCCCGTCGGGGGCGCACACCCAGGGGTCCTGGGTCTCCCACTGCCACTTGGCCAGCTGTGTGCGCAGCAGCTCCAGCGCCGGGGCATAGCGCAGGTCGGCAGCCAGGTTCTGGGTCTCGTGGGGGTCGCGGCGGAGGTCGTAGAGCTCCCAGCGCTCCCGGCAGGTTAGCCTCTGAGTGGGAAGCGCAGGGTCAGGCTCACTGAGAGGACACCTAGGGAGAGCTCCCCCAGCGCTGGCGGGGCCCCGGGGTACAGCGCGGGGCTCCCTCAGGCCCCCAGTGGTTGGGTGTGTGACCTCCCGTCCATTGTGCCCCACAGAGTACTTGAGCCCCGGCTGGTGGGGGGAGGGGACACCCACAGGGCAGGTTGTGCACCAGGCGCAGGGCCCCGCGCTGCACGGAGCGCATCGGGTAGAACATGGTGGCCTCGTGGTGGCTCTGGCTGCCGAAGACCGTGGACCAGGCGGGCTCCGCGTCCAGCGCCGGCAGGAGAGACCGGCCAGTGAGCCGGACTGTCTTGGAGCCGAAGATGGCGTAGCGGGGCTAAGGGATAGAGAACCAGTCCAGCACGGTGGGCGTGAGGTCTGTGGGGAGGGAGGCGCATCAGCACGCTCCAGGCCGGCACGAGGCCCCCAGGGAAGGCCGAGGCCGAGCCTGGGAAGCTGGTGGCCGCCTCTCACCTCAGCCGCCAGCAGGGAGGAGCTCCCGGCCGGCACCTGTCCCCGCTGCCCACCTGCCCGCTCTCTCTGCATGACTGACATTCAGGGTCCTTCTAAGACCCTTCGGGCCAGTGAGGCAGCCCCACTTGGCTCATCGGCTCCTGCTCTGAGCTGCGGCCACAGCGTTCCCACACGTACTTTGGGGCCAAAGGGCGGAGGGTGCTGCTGCCCTGACCCCTCAAAGCGGGATCCCTGGGGCCGCGGCATCAGTCCCACCCGGGAAAATGCCAGAAACGCACTCTCAGGCCCCAGCCCCGACCTACTGAGCCAGGAACGTGGGTGGGTATCTGGACAGCAACACCCTTTGCTCAGAATGGGCCGGCGGGAAAGCAAGTCGCAAGGTGCTAAGGCCCCGGCTAGAACCCCAGTTGGGCGCTTGCACGCTGCGTGGCCTTGGGCAACTCACTTCCCCTCTGAGCCGCCTGGGGGAACCACGTCAGCGAGTGGTTGCAGACAGCCCAGACCTGGGGGCCCCCACTCCTGCACCCGCCGCCCTCCCCTTCCCGTGAGGCGCAGGCCGTACCGAGGAGGCTCACGTAGGCCTCGCTGACCTGGCCCCAGCGGCTCGGGTGCTCCGGGGAC